GGTGATGACAATATTTACTATTGAAATTCTGGGATTTTGAATTCTTCTGGACATGATAACCTGGCTTGATGGAAATTTTAATATTTGATGGGACTAAATATGGAATAATCAAATGTTAAGATATTGAATCAGAAAGGTTAAAGCTTTATTGTAAAGGTTAACATGTCAATGAAGTAAATCAAGCTCTCTGTGTGATTTTGGTAAAGTGGTTCTGATTAGTGGGACTTTTCTCCTTTCTGAACTTTTTCACGTGGATGACTTGGAAATAAATGAGTTAGAGTGCATAAAATGACAAATTCCTGGTTATGGATCCATCCAGTCCTAACAGCCTATCACAAACTCCATTCAGACTTCTGTTCCATTTGTCCTGACTTTTACCTTCTCTGAAAAAATTTGCAGAGCTGGTAGATTGCTTCCTGGCAGTCACTGCTTCCACAAAAGCCTCTGGGGTCAAGGCCAATAACTGTCACAGCATCCCCACCCCTGCAGGAGCAGGGCGGACATCCCTGGTCACTACCTGGACCTCTGGCACTGAGACAGTTTTGCTTGGCCCTCCTAAGTCTGGCCCTTCCCTTTTTGCAATCCACCCCAGGCAACAGGGCCCACCCACCTGCCACTGGATCTAATGATAATTACCTCTAGCTGTCCTGTCAGGCTTCTCCTGAAGACAGCTTGAGAGGATAATCTAGGCAGGCTTCTTGATTTAAGGACAGACAGAAAGTGTCCTTAAAAATCAATATGTTTAACGATATTCAGTATTAATATTTTAAGTCTTAATGCATAGAAAAAATAGTTGCTCTCTTGTTCCATTTGAGATGCTATAGCAAAATAGACTTTTTGGTTCAGGTGACAGTACAATTCCTAGTTCATAGGTAACTGTCTTGCCACTGTGTGTCCTCAACGTGGGAGGTGGACAAAGGCTTCTGGGGTGTCTGTTACTGTGATGGCTCTAATCTCACTCATGAGGAATATACCTTCATAACAGAGTCATCCACTAAGCATCTGCCTTCTTACATCATCACCTTGGGGATTATATTTCAACATACAAATTTTGGGGGAGGAAATAGAAACATTCAGTCTATGCAACCTCTACTCTTATCTCAGCTTTTGCAATTTTTTTTGAAGATGTGCTTTTACTTATTTATTTATGCATAAAAGAACTAACTTGTAGGCCAGAGTTATGGGTGGGTGAGGGGGGCGTGAGAGGATTCATCAGAGACAGTGGGGAGCAGAACAGACAGATTGAAATACACTGCTGAGGAGAGCAGCAGGCAAGACAGGAGAGGTCTGCTGCGCCATGTGGGTCAGCTCCCTGGCCTGGGATCAAGTGCATGTTGCAGTGGCTAGTGAGTGATAGCTTGATAGCGCTGTGTCTTTAATCCCTGCACCAGCAGGGAAACCCAACTTTTGCAATTCCGACATAGTTGATAGAGAGGGAGGTAGAAAAGGCAAGAGAAAACTCAGCCTGGTTGAGATGAGCACAAAGTAAAATTGTAGCCCCATTTATTCTTCAGCACCTTTGAACTAGTCTGGAAACTATTATCGACTCTATTTTATACATGAGAAACACAAACCCAAAGAGTTTAAACGACTTGTTCAAGCTAATAAGTAGCAAAACCCAGATGTTTCCTTCTCAATTCAAGTTCAGGGCTTTTTCTCTTCTCTTTCTTATCCTCCTAAACCCAGCCTGTGAATATTGCAATGAATCTTTAATCCTCAACTCACTATGAATCCTATGGAATAATTGTTATAACTAAGAAACAGCACAGTTTGCATTTTAGGCACAAAAGCCTGAAATCCAGAGAAATAAGGAATTTCAACCCAAAACAAAACTGAGCCCTTCCAACTACAGAACAAGACCTTGTCCCATCCCTCTAGTCTCAGTAGCTGTACGTGCCTAATTAAGAGTTTTATCACAATATAATTTTTGGTTGTTTCCCAGTGAAAAATCAACGGTACAATCACAGTAGTGATAAATGCCATGCAAGGCAGCTCTATTGAGTGACATGAATCATTGCACAGCCTTTTTAAAAAAGTGAAAATGGTGCTGTGCTCACCTTCCTGGTGCTTCCTCACTCAGCAGTGAAGGGGTGTGGTTCCAGCTCGCCATCATCTGAGTCTATGCAGGAATTGCACGGAGACCAGAGGTAGTATTAACACTGATGTGCCTGTCAGCTCCTGAAGACAGACAGTTGCAGCCTACTTACCTTTCATCCAGGCCTGAGCTACTGAGATCACTCTGGCCCTTAGGAAGGCAGGTGGTATCTTTCACTATCTCCCGCAAGAAGCCTAAGGAAGCAAAATACAAGAGTACAAAAAGTGAAACACTTCTTGACTATTAACAGACATCATTTCTGTTGCTCAGTCTTGCAAATGTTAATGTAACAACCAGTACTTTGCTTAGACGGAGCTTAAGATCATGGTCTTTGGCTCACGCTGCCTGAGTTTACAATGTAGGCGCTGCTACTTAGGATTTGTGTGATAGCAGGCATGTTATTTAACTTTTTGCACCTCAGTTTGCTCCTCTATTATACAAGAATAAGAAACAGTAATACAAATGGCACAGGGTTATTATCAGAATTAAATGAGCTAATACTTAAAAGACACCCTCCAGTTCAGGCTCTTATTATCTCATGGCCTGATGGCCTCTGTGACTTCTTGGCCGTGACCTTGATAGACCAGCCCATTCCCTTTTCCAGCACACATCTCTGTTGCCAAATTGCCACAGCAACACCTCTCAAAAGCATTCTTCTCATCATGTATGCCATTCATACCTTTGCAAAGAGCTTACTCTACCTTCATTTTGTCCATTCTATCAAATCTGATACCTTTGCCCAGGCTCCCATGTGTGATCAAGAGAATTCTCCCTATTTGTTTTCATTCCAGGAAATCAATGTGCTGTGCTCATCACTCCCCTGACTTCTACCACCTACAGAGTGGACCACATATCCGCCCTACGCTTCCAATTATATACTTGACCACTCCACATTTTCTTCCCCCTTCCTTTCCATTTGTCTTCACCAATTATTTCAGAACTCTTATTAAACATTCACTCCAAGTCCTGTCTTTTACTGCTTTATCTGACTTTCGTGTGTGTTGCTTTATGGCTATCTACCCAGCAGTTTTTATGTGAAGGTTCTTATTTGGAGAGTTTACTATTCACAGCCAGGAATAGCAGAGAATTTTCCATTTTGAGGCGGGGGTAGTTATATATGGGGGATCAGCCCAGAGTGCTGAGGCTGATAAAATGTTCAGCATGACGTGGGCCCTCACGCTGTGTTATTCCCTGGTTACAAAAAGGTGGCTCGATCCCCTGAAGATACCAAGGGAGAAAAGTCCTTAGGAGCCTCTAACTGGAGCATAGTTTAGAGCTTTCCAGGGAGACCCAATCAGAAACCTGCCTCCTGTATTCCTGTGTTTCATGGAAGTGCTAAAAGCTAGTGTATGAAAAAAACAGATTAACTGTGACTATTTGCACTGTTGCACGTTTCTCTGCTGCTCTGAATGCTTGTCTGGTTTGCATTACGATTTCCTTCCTTGCTGGAAAACCACATAGACTTTCTCCCTTTCTTTGGAAGAAGTGGGACCTGTTGGAAATCTGAAGCTCCAGGATTCAAATGCAATGGGCTTGGCTGTGGTACTCTGTAGTGCATTTCTTGACAAGCCCTGAAAAGACCATTGAATTCTGGCCTGTGCTTTTTCTGCAATGTTTGGATGTGTTTCAGCTGCAGTGTTTGGCTGGATAGAGTGATCAAAATAGAATTTTTTTCTTCCTCAGCAATTTTAAGTTACAATTTCATCCTTTACTGTTAAAATTGAATTTTTGACTATTCAAATAAATACCTTCAAGTACAGTAGAATCATACTTGTTCACAAATAATCTTTTTTTTTTTTTAAGAAAAAGGATTATTAGTTATTTACATATACAAGAGCTGGGATGTGTAGGACACAGATGTGAGGGGACAGAGGATTCACCAGAGACAGAGTGGGAAGCAGAACAGGCAGATTTACTGAAATACATTGCTGAGAGGAGCAGTGGGTGAAATAGTAAAGATCTGCAGTGCCATGTGGGTCACCTTCCTGGCCAGGGATCAAACTCGTGCTGCTTTCTATCTTTAAAAATTGCATTATTGGGCCCTCCCTGGTGGTGCAGCGGGTTAAAGCACAGCACTGAGAAGCTAAGGCCACTTCTGCATGAGTTCGATCCCCGCCTGCCCCGGAAGTGACCACATGGCGTGGCAGACCTCTCCTGACCCGCCCGCTGCTCCCCTCAGCAGTGTACTTCGTCGATCTGCCTGTTCTGCTCCCTGCTCTGTGTCTGGTGAATCCTATAACCCTCCACATCTCTGGCCTGTACCCCAGTTCTGTATGAATAAATAAATAAACCTTTTTAAAAAATTACATTATTGTGAAAAATGTCAAAATATAAGCTATTTGTACTATCCTACACAAAAAACTGGAAGATATTTGGTGACTTTGCAAAAGAATAACAAGTTCCATTAGGGTTTTTTTTTTTTAATTAGATACAGTAATTTCGGAAGGACTTTTACTTATTACTTATTTCCTATTATTAAACTGTTATCTCTAGTAATCTCTACAATGTCATAGCCTGGTGCATATGTGGTGGGCTGGGGGCTTGATGCTCTGTGTAATAGGCTATTGTTCTCTGGTAATCTTCAAAGGACTGCTGGCCTTTGAATCTGTTCCATATCTAAAATTCTAGCTTTAATTATCAGATTTGTCTGCTTTTTTTTTTTTTTTTCTTGGCGATTAAGGACAGGAGAGGCTGAAATGTGTTTATTATTCTGCAAAATCCTTGAGACGGGTAGGATTCCAAATGTTTAATTTTGTTCTGGAAATAAGAGCTGGTCAAATTATAGACTCTGTTAAGCCAAGAGAAGGAAATTAATAAATCGAGAGCACAGTCACTGAGTGACACGACATAAATGGCTGTCCATGTGGTGCGCCCCACTAAACAGCCCTGTAACTCTGCCTTTCAGGGTCCCTGCAAGTCATGAACAAAACAAGAAAGATCATGGAACATGGGGGGGCCACCTTCACCAACGCCTTTGTCACCACACCCATGTGCTGCCCCTCCCGATCCTCCATGCTCACCGGGAAATACGTGCACAACCACAATGTCTACACCAACAACGAAAACTGCTCCTCACCCTCATGGCAGGCGATGCACGAACCCCGAACGTTTGCTGTGTATCTTAACAACACCGGTTACAGAACAGGTAAAGAGGAGATGAACTTTCTTACCTATAAACCTCTGGTAATGCATCCCTGACACAGGATGACGCATTCTGTGATGAAATAACTGAAATGCCAAAAAAAGGCCCTAAGTGGAAGTTATCTAGGCTCTTCTCTTCTCTGGTAGTCACCTCCCCAGCCTTTTTACTTTGCTCCGAATAACATACCACTGAGAGTTCCTTAAACAAAAGTCATGACTCTCAGTGAACACATCATCATCAAAGTGTTTTACCCCCAGAACACCCAGCAACTGGACTTTTCTAAGACAACCTGCAATAGGTACGTTTTCGTCCAATTAACCTGTTTACCTCGACTCTCAAATCCCTAGGGATTGTAGCGCAGCTTGAGGAACATTGTCATAAATGTTGGTAAATTTCTACAAATTGTTTCAGTGAGAAGTCATGGGAGTGGGGTAAGGTTCAAACTCCTTAACCCCTACCGTATGACCTGGGACATAACAAATTATCAACATTTTTTATTGAATTAATAAATAGCTGAATGAATAAACCAATGATATGGACTAGCTCATAAGAATTAAAACATCATTACTAAAGCATATTGGAAATGATTTTGAGGTTTACAGATTCTCTATTCTGAAATTTTTAAATAAATTTTTTCAGATAAACATATTCTCTCAAATCTCTTTTAAAAATAAAATTAATCATTTGATTGGATGTGAGAAATATGTAGGCTTTGCTTCTTTGCAGACCATCTTGTGGACATTTATTACTTGTTATTTATGGATAAAAAGATTGATTGTACATATGAAAGTATCGTCATTCATAAGCAACCCAAGATCTCTACATACCAAGGATATTCCTCTTGTGAATCAAGGGGGTCTGCTGATGCTAAGGAAAGAAACTAGGGTATTCAAAGTGCCTTATCTTGAGTGTGCTTTCTCACAAAAGTGAGTTAAATTTATAGCTCCATTTATCTGAGAGCCTTAAGCAATTTGCAAATCCATCAAGCATCCCTGTAGGGTTCATAGACAACAAATATACTTGGCACTATTTTATGGATGAGGTGGGGATTTCAAATAATATGTGGCCAGCACAGAAGCAAAATCAGAATTAGTTCCTGATTTCAGCCACCGAAGTATGTTTTCCTCATAGGAAGCACACGAAATCAGTGCCTTTCAACATCTAACCCCTAACACCCTTATAATTTGATCCCTGGGAGCACACACAGAATTTGAAAGATAGGGGCTTTCAGATATAGTGTGTAGTGACACAGGAACCCTGCCAGGATTTTGAGCAGTCAATTAAGTCTGGCTGGTTTCTAACAAGGTTATATCCAGGAAGGGGGAAAAAGGAGATTACTAGGTTCTGGAGAAATAGTGCACATACTGTGACAATAGCTGGCAATATCATATTGTGTACTTGAAATTGCCTAAAAGGGTAGAGCTTTGGTGTTCTCATTACAACAGAGCATGGCAAAAGCATGAAGTGATAGATATGTTGATTTGCTTAGTGATTGTAAATATTTTGCAATGTCTATGTATATGAGACTATTCGTTATACCTTAATAAACTTGTGTATGTGATTGGGGAGGTGAGAGTAACTTGTGTTGTATAACCTCCTCTGCACTAGATATTTCAGCTAAGATGTGTCAACTAATTTTTTTTTAAGATTTATTTATTTATGCATACAGAACTGGGGTACAGGCCAGAGGTGCAGGGGCAGTGAGAGGATTCACCAGAGACAGTGTAGGGAACAGAACAGGCTTATTAATGAAGTACACTGCTGAGGAGACCAGCGGACAGGTCAGGAGAGGTCTGCTATGCCATGTGGGTCACCTCTGGGGCAGGGAATCGAACTCATGCTGAAATGGCTTTAGCTTCTTAGTGCTATACATTAACCCACTGCACCACCAAGGGAGGACCCGTGTCAACTAATTTTTACAACAAAACAGGATTTGACCATGCTACCATGTTACCAGAGAAGAAATGAAGACAGGGGTGTTAATTGTCTAAGGTTATAAGGTAGTTGGCAATAGAATGAATCTAGCACCTCTCTCCAAATTCCTTCCTCTTTTCATTATCATATTTCTATAGCTCCCCACTCGAGAGTGTCTTACAGAGACACATGAGATATAAAAGCATATAACACAATTAGGGCTTTGGCAAATGAAAAGTAATAGTAGTTCAAACTGAGGCAAAGTTTGCATGCCATGTATATCAATCTCAGGCTCTGGAATTGCAGAGAAAGATTGCATTTTCGAAACTAAGCTTCCAAATAGCAAAAACAAAAAGTGCAAAACCATTCATTACAAAGCTCATTTGGTCACCATGACTAAAACATATCAGTTGTTTCTAAGAAGCATGGTACATCTGGTACTTGTTTTTATCTGTACTATGCTATACTCACCCTCCAGTGGATTATAAGAATTTGAATGTAATTCAGAGATTACTTAGATCGATTTCTTTATTATCAAACAGACAAACTTAGACCCACAAGAAGATTAAGATGACTTGCTGAAGTGACTGACACATGTGATATTCTAATAGAAAGAACAGGTGCTAGGACCTTGGCCTTACTTAACCCATACAGTTAGGGTATGACCTTCAGGGATCTCTCATACCCTAACTGTATGGGTTAAGTCTGGGATAAAAGCTATAATTCTTTCCCATGATAATGGTCATTACATTTGTGGAAACTAGAGGGAGTTTTATCCAGGGAGAGGAGATTTGTTCCTGGGAACATCAGCCTAATTCTGAAGCCAGTCTTTAGAATTAGAATCAGCCCCAGGTGTCTAGACTCATAGGTAATAATGGAATTTTCTATAAAGTAAAAGGAATTCTTTAAGGGAAATAGGGCTTGTCCAAATACTTAGGAATTGACACAGGCTGACAGGCACTCAGGAAAATTAATTTTTATGTGTCCATTAATAAATAAGAAAAATAAGAATTGGAATATGAAAATGACAATGATAGAGATCATATAAATTAAGCTTTCATGGGAAAATACTGAAGGGTTTCAAACATTAAGAAGATATCTTTGTGACAGTACTTTTGCTCCAACCAGGAGCAGAGACCCATTTGAAATATACAAATAAACACATCAGGATAGCAAGCATTTTAGGAAATTAACAGAATTGGTAAGTAGATATTAAGCCAACATAATTATTAATGAGGCACTAAACTAGTGTGGGGGGAAGTCAATGTATAAAAATTTTATTATTTTCCTCATAATGGATACATTATTTGGAACATTTAGCTGAAACCTAAGAAAAATAATGAAGGAAGCTGAAATGTGTATTATATAGAAATATCTATCTAGAGGGAAGCACAAACAGTGATCCATTTTATGAACAATTCAGAGAAGACAAATTACTAAGAGGCTTATTTTGGGAGGCATCCAGAATACGTGGACTTAAACAAATCGATCCAATATTATATTTACCATTGTATGACATGATTTTTCTTTTTCAGAACTGAGGCATGTATTTGGACTGGCTACAGTCTCATTTTTCTAACTTTATTCATGGAAAATATGACTCTCTAGCAGCCTAAGTGTTCAAAAATAGGGGAAATATAGTAATGTGTCTAATGCATTTTATGTTCTGACAAGTAAAGTGGGAATGATATTGGATTATCTGCCATAAAAATAAATATCCTCCTTATCTTTCCCACTCCCCAAATATTTAGTTTATATTTCTAGTGAAGGCATGCACATGAATGCATAACCTAGGATAAGTTTTTAAGTAAAAAATAAGGTACCACATTTGAAAGGAAGCATCAAATGTTAAAAAGAAAACCCTAAAAGAAGACTGAAGAAGGCTGAAGTCAGGTCCTAATTCTGTCTTTAATTTACAGAGAACTTGTAAAGGCCAGTTTTAAAACCTATATAATGCAGAGATTAGATACAAATGATGCCTAAGACTTATTTCCCAGTCTACTAAATTGTAATTTCCTTATAATCATTGAAATTATATATCAATCATTCTGTAGTTTTCAAATTATAATCATAATATTTAACACATAAAATCACACTGGAATTAAGTTTCAGTCATATTAATTTTTCATCGCTGTGGTGAAAGGAGCAATATTTAATTGAGATTGCAATAAATCTTTTTGTGAAGAATTCTTTTGTAACAAGATAATTTAGGCAAATTAGGCAATTTTCTAATTTCATATCGTTTAACATTGCAGAATTTACTCATTTTACCTATGGCAAGTATATTTCTTTGCTTTCAAAAATGGATTTTCTTGAATGTAGAATTCACTTAAAGTAAGATAAGCTAATATACTTATTTTTATGAATTAGGATGTTACAAATTTTTTCTAATATGGATTTTACCTATGGCAAGTATATTTCTTTGCTTTCAAAAATGGATTTTCTTGAATGTAGAATTCACTTAAAGTAAGACAAGCTAATATACTTATTTTTATGAATTAGGATGTTACAAATTTTTTGATAGAGCATACACATTGTATATTTTATTGAGCCATAGCATATTTAGAGCTACACTAGCCCTGAGATATAAGACCCCTATCTTCATTAGATTTATAATCCGGTTGGGATGAACCAACTCACAAATATAAACTGACATAAGAGTAAAACATAATTTTAAACTGGTTCAAACATTTGCCACCCCAAATCTATCCATTAGATAACATTTGTTATAGTAAATAAGATTTGACTTCTCCATTGTATCAGAAATGTTTCTGATAGCTACTATTGCTGGCTTCAATATACAAGCCTTTATTTCAAATAATTCAGGTATTAAATATTATGTAACTGATAGTCTTGGATAGGAGTAGCATACGTAGAGTCAACACTAATTATAATCAGGTCTTTCTACTCTTCCTCCCTGTCACCGAACATCCACCAACTTGAACAGCTGGTAAGAGAAGTGTTTAAAGGTGTCTCAAAGAAGGAAGTGATAGAGAAAGACTGGCAGATGGCATCATGTTAGTGATTACCCAGATAGCAGCGAGTTGCTATGCCAAAGGATAGAACAGTTCTACACTTAATATAATAGTGATATTATGGGCAAGAACACAAAGGCAAGGGGAAAAGATTTAATATATCTGGAGGAAAATAATTAGAAGCCTGGATAATCAATTGCAGAATTCTGCCAGGAAGCATCACTTTCAAAGAGACCAGAGGCCAATGAGTCTCAATGTCACCACAAAAAAGGCCAGATAATTTGAGGCTTACAATACTGGGAACCACTTCTTGACACGTGGGTACTGGTCTCCTTGGAGGAAGTGTGACGGCACATCTGGAATGAGTGTATTTTTGACAATCCACTAACACAAAGATATCTGAAATGAAGGGAGTTGTGAAATGAATAAGAGAGACTATTAAGAGGCTAGAGTGAATAGTTATAAGCGGAGAATTTGCAGAAAGGGCTATCGCCATTACAATGGGTAGAAAACAGTGCAGAATAACCTATCTAGTAAAACAATGAGGGAAGGGCAGGGACAACTTGGCATGGCTGACCTGAACAGAAAAAATAAAAAAAAATAAAACTAAAAGGGGCAGGAAAATATTCAGAGCTAATCAGGATACTGTAAGCCAAACGGAGAGAATTTATTGCCACAAAATCAAGTTGGAGAAAAAAGTTATGTAACTTTTCCAGACCTGTTTTCTTTTTTAACATTTTACTTATTTTTGTGCAGAAGAGCTGGGGTGCAGGCCAGGGGTGTGGGAGGTGAGAGGATTCACCAGAGACAGAGTGGGGAGCAGAACAGGTAGATCAACAAAATACACTGCTGAGGGGAGCAACAAGTGAGACGAGAGGTCTGCTCCAAATGTGGGTCAGCTCCCTGGTCCCGGATGAAACTTAATCCCTAGGCCACCCGGGAGGCCCCTCAAGACTTGTTTCATATGCACAAGTGCAGAATGCTGGAACAAGAATCCCTGGCACCGCAGAATGATAAATTATTAAAAATGAGAACATGGCATTGATATTGTGATGATAAAGATGGTCAGTAGCAGCTCTTACTAAGTCCTTGTTATGTGCTAATTATTATTTAAAGCACTTTGCGTGTGTATCAGTTTATTTTATCCTCACAACAATCCTACCACGGTTATCATTATCAATACCAATATCATCTTCATGGGTTTACAGAAGAGCAATTGGAGGTATAAAGAAATATAGTAACTTGTCTGTGGACAGACAGCTAGTAAATAGCTATCAGAACTTGAACCTGTGCAGACAGGCCCCAAAACTTTAGCCCCCAAAGTTTATATTCCAAATCACTATGGTCTTTTGCTTTAGAAAAGAAAGGAGAGGAAAGTGGAATAGAGCCCTGGGGATGAGAAGCAGGTCAGAGGAAAGCGCTGTCCAAGTTATTAAGTGGTAGGTTCCTGGAAACGGCCCCTTCTGAAGTCAGTCATCAAGCCCTGGTCTGCTGCCTGTGACTACACGTCACACTGTGTTTTGCAGAAAGAAAAAATCATCTTGTGGTTCTATGTGAAAGGTGGTTAGTCCCTGAAGACAAGAACCCCTCATTAGGAGAATTCCTGCTGCATGTAGTCAGTTCAGGGGGGAGTCCTGAGTCATAGCTAACGTGAGCCCTTCTGACACCATGTCCCACACCCGTCTCTCTGGCAGGATCCTCAAACTGTGAGCCTTTGGCAATTGACCGCTTGATTGATTCACAGATTCAACATCGAAACATTTTCATTTGACAAGCAAACAAACACTGACATGCTTCTCAGATTTGAGTCAACTCTTGGAAGAAAATAAACCCAATAAGAGAGATGAACTTCAGCAATTCTGAAGCTTTAGTCTATGAAAATATTAGGCCAGCCCACTTTAAAAATCATAATGCTAGTGAAAACACAAAATTTAACAAGTCAAAATCATTAGAGGCCCTGGACATGGGAGCCCATGAACACCAGCTCAAGAAACAAAAGTCATGGATCCTCTGTACCGTGTGCAAGGATGGTGTGTTTGCAGAGATGGGGCAAAGACAGTGCTGCTCTCAAAAAGCCTACAGTGGAAGGGACAAGAATACGGTGGATAACTCCACAAGGAAAAGAGTTGCCAAGGAAATAAAGCACCGTGGTTTTGGGGCCAAGACTGGGAATGAAATGGCTTTGACCTTGAAACATAGAGCAGGAAATTCAGAGAATAGCACAAGCGAGAGGGAAGAGGTGGGAACCAAAGCAAAGAGAGGAAACTCAGCTGCAGAGGTGGGCATTTAGCAAAGAGGTGTGAGATGGAGTTGGAAAGAGAAAAAATTTTCCAGACCCAGATTTTGCCTTGAATGGCAATTAAATTTGATTCTACAGGTAAGGAGGGTTCACCCAGAGTTTGAGAGAAGAGGGTGATATAACCAGGCCTGGATTTCAGTGAGGTGATGGTGAGAGTAGAAAGACCCTGGCAGCTGGTCAGGAATTCAGTCAGGAAACTGAGCCTGCGTGAGGGGTGTCAAGTCGTCACAGACAGAGGCCTGGCCAGAAAATGATATAGGACCCAGGCAGAACCTTCGGTGGCTGAGGTGACTGCTCGGGAAAGGGAAAGCTGGGAGTTGCCATCATAGTCAACCACAGGGCAGTTGTGACACTCAGAGAATGACAGGTTATCTGAGAGAAATAAATTTGGAAAGGAAAAAAAACTTTAATTTTGGATGGTTATATTAAAGATCAACAACAAAAAAACTTTCAGGTGAAGATTTTCTATAGGTAGCTATATATCAGAGATGAAAGCAATCAAATTTGCTATTGTATAAAGACACAGAAATAATATACAATTAAGAGTTTAAGATTCAGAAATGTGTGCTTCAAGAGCAATGTTAAAAAGTACCTTAATTTTAGGATCAGATTTCAACATGCCAATTAGTTCCATCAAAGAACTACCTTTCTTGATGTATGTAAGTACAGGCAACTCTAACACCTGTTTAATGAAGTAAGGAAGTGATTTTGACATGGAAAATATCTGCCTAGCCAGAGGACAGGGTCTTTCCCTAAAAAGAAGGATCACAGCTTAGAAAAAAAAAAAAATCAGGAAAATAAGTATCAGAAAGATTAAAACTTTGATGCATATACAATGTATCTACAGGTAGATGCAAACTCAAATACATGCACCACCCTTACATATTTACATAAAATAAAATATTCTAGTCTTTTATACATGAGTTTTAATCTAACCCACTTGATTCCTAAAAGCCCATCCTGCCTCACTCTCTTTTTCCAGCTCCTATGGTCACCTTTGGCACAGGAACAAATTCAGTCTTTTTCTACAAAAGGATCAGTAAGCCTTTCTGAAGTGACCCTTCTAGGGTGAGACATGACAGCCAAATATATGAAGTCCTTCCAGTGGCCAGGACAATGAGTCATGGAGGCTTCATGTTGCCTATAGTGTATTGTACTATAACTATATTAGAATTAGTCATCTGTGTAATAACTCTATGTTGTCAGGATTTTTATGGCCAATAATTAGGCACACACATTAATAAAATATACACACATAATATAAACACCAATAACAAAAAACACAGATACCTAAAAAATTACTAATAAGTAAAACCTAATCACATCTCATAAAAATGGAGTTTTTTGACAGAAAATTTGTTCTCTCTGGCTATGCCAAAAAAAAAAAGACAAGTTTTTTCAGTAGTATTTTTTATAATATGCACTCTCAAATAGTAAATCTTATTTTAGCACAAAGTCTGAGTCTGTAGTTCTCCAATATTTGCTCTTTGGTAGCATTTCAACCCTCACATTGGTATCTTTTCTACTTCCCACATCTGTTTAACCAAAGGGTTCATTCTACCTTTGCCCCAGTAGAATTACAAGAAACAGATGTACCCGGATACCATCATCATTATGGTGATTTTATTGAACCCAAGTCCATGTAGTTGGATTCTACTTTTATTTGGAAAGAAGAATGTGTGTGTGTCACTTTGTCAAAGTTTGTTACCACACTAACATTATTTCAGCATCTACTCTTACCTTGGTTAACTTTTGTTCTACTGTCTTTTGCAACTGACAATTTTATGCTAATGGATTTATTTATGATTAATCATTTCATGTGAAAAAATATGCCCTTTTTTCCCATTGCAGCCTTTTTTGGAAAATACCTCAATGAATATAATGGCAGCTACATCCCTCCTGGGTGGCGAGAATGGCTTGGATTAATCAAGAATTCTCGTTTCTATAATTACACTGTTTGTCGCAATGGCATCAAAGAAAAGCATGGATTTGATTATGCAAAGGTAATTTTCAGGCACTTTTACACTGCATCAATTTACTTGTGCATAATGGGAAAAAGTCTTTTTCAGTGAGTTAACCTATTCACAAGATTGGCTTTCTAGGTTCTAACAATGTTAAAAGGAAAAATTTTAAGATAATTTTAAGCTCCAGGCAAGAAAGATTCTCAAGGAACATTGATGTGATAGAGTGATTTTCCCCCCTTACTGGAATGAGAAGCAATCAGCCCTTGATGAAAGCATCATCAAGATCATCATAGGTGCCTCCACTCTTGTTTTGTGACGCTGTTTGGTCCTCGCCCCAAAGCTAGAGACTTGTTCACATAATCATATGTTCATCTTGCTCCATTTGGCTCTTCACTGGGTTGAAGGTGTATTCTGTCTTTGGCTTCAGATTAAATTTAAGAATAAGAGCAGAAGCATGCAATGATCAAAGATTGGTAAACCACATTCCTTGCCTTCACTTCTTTCTGGCCAAGCTCACTTAGGTGACAAGGACATTTCCCCATGGCAGGTAGAGCCCACAAAAGCTTCTAAGGCTGTTGATCCCAATATTTCCAAAATAATTTCATGGAAACTGAAATTAATATGCCCCATGGTGCTCTAACAAATGAACCTGAGATTTATTTCCAAAACGTTTTATGATTGCCAACTTTAAAACAATTTTCAGACTATCAGCATGAATGGGGAAAAATATCTTTGAATTTAGTGTGAACATTGGCCTAACATGTCCTATTCCCTTCTTAACATCCTCTTCTCTTTTTCATATATCTAAAAGAAGCTGAAAATTTGCTCTGCATACAATAGCTCACTAAAACAAGCCATTAGTAGATGTCAGAAAGAAGGAAGTTGGTTCAGTCTTAACACATTGCTGCCTTTGTGCCTGACCTGATTTGAGGATGGGGGTTGGTGGAAAAGGAGTAATAAGGTTCACCCTTTTGTAGCCTTCAGAAAAAAGTGAATGAAAATATATTCACAAACATTGCTAATCAGTTTCCAGACTCATCAAAGTTGAGACCTTGGAGACGGAGCTGAGCAACTTCCCACAAAGTGCACTAATTGTCGCTGCTATCATTTTTTATCTGTGGGGATGCTTTTCATGCTTCTTGTTCAAGCTATTAACCTTTCTTTCCCTGTTGTCCTAAAGAGAGCAAAGTAATCAAGGTTCCCTCCAAAGACTAAATCAGCGTAACTTGCACATTATCACAGCTGATTAAGTGTCAAAGACAACTGTGTCCGAAAAGAGTATATATCTTTTTTTAGTGAGAAAAGGAATGAAACAGACACTCCCATGGAAGAAGGTGATAGCCTGTGTTCTTGTCCTAACAATGACATGTGACACAGATTTTATCCCTTTGGCGTTGCTTTTACAGCTGTTCAGGTCCTTGAATCTATATGTGATTAGTCATGCCTGGACGCCTCTGACATTGCGAACACAGTCAGGGCACTTTCAGAATAAAGTTTATCCTGGAGTTGCAGGCCAATGATAAACACTAAGAGGAGCAGGTGGTTTAATTTAAGTTTTCATCATTTCTTTCCTTTTCATTCCTATAGTCTTGTATCCCCTCAGATTGTTGGTTAACAAGTCGGGCTCTGATCCCAACAGCTGTATCATTTTAGTTGTGCAATTAACAGAGTATAATTTTTAGGAAATCAACTGCTCCCCATATTTAGCAATTCAAGTAAATTAATTGATAAAAATGTTGCAAGTTTCCCTCTGCACCCAGATTTTGGCCAGAGCTTTGATTAGTGATTATTTTATAAATCTGAAAGGTGAATTTTCAATTTAAAGAAAAAACTTTTGTTTATGCATTTTGTGTGTGTGTGTGTTCTACAACTGTGAATGTGTCGTGGGTGTGGGTGTTTCCTGCCCTTGAAGTAATTAAAATTTTTGTCAACGAATTACATCAACGAAACCTGAGAGTGAAATATGTATCCGGTGTTTCATAGATTGCCAGATCTGATCATTATCTTGAGCAAACAGGGCTTGACTTTTTTTCTTTCCTAATTGCTAAGTTGTGCATAACTTAAATTAATTTTTTTTTGCATGTTACCAAGCTAGCAACCCTAGAAAGTAACTGGCAACTGGTTTTCTTTCTTTTTTTTTTTTTCCCTGTTATGGAAGATATTTTGCTGTCTTGGGAAGTACATTTTTCCTTTGTGTTTTAGACTGTAGTGCTTGACTTGGTGAGTTGCTTCTGAGGATAGCAGTATTCAAATGTGATCTGATGAATGTCACCTTTTGTAATTTTTGTTTTGTGTCAAATATATGTTTCAGGACTACTTCACAGACTTAATCACTAACGAGAGCATTAATTACTTCAAAATGTCTAAGAGAATGTATCCCCATAGGCCCATTATGATGGTGATCAGCCACGCTGCGCCCCACGGCCCCGAAGACTCTGCCCCACAGTTTTCCAAACTGTATCCCAATGCTTCCCAACACATGTGAGTAGCCACAGCAGCTCTGGGACCTGCTTGACACTGGCCTTTCTTTTGCTCCCTGCTCTGTTCCTCCATCTCGCTTGTTGCGAGGCACATCCACAAGGCAGAACAAGGGCGTCCACTGTGAGACCACAGCACAGGAGGCGATGGGACCTACATAAAGGGGCTTATCTAGATCTTGAATACGAAATCACATTTCTAAAAATTGTAAGTAGCTGCATGAAAAGGAAAAGAAGCACACGTGGTGAATGGGGACAATATTTCCTGAGTGTTTCCTTCAGTCATCCTAAATAATATTTATGAGTGTGATCTAATGATGATGGTGATCAAATGATATGACTTTCCTAGCAAATGAAGCCCGATCCCTACTCTGGTTACGGAGACTTTGGTCTATTTTCCAGGTGAATATACACCAGGGGCTTCACTGCAGATGCGTAATTAGTACTGCTACAGAAAGTGACTTGAGTGTGCTTATCCAAAAGGCCTTCTCAGGTCATGGCTTTAAATAACCTCATGTTTCTGTTCGAGTCAGGAGCCTTGATGAGGGAAAGGGTGAAGAGACACAGGGAGAGGAGATGAGATAGAAAGCTATATCATGCCTCACAATTCTCACTAGCGAGGGAGGGTGGAAAAAGTCTGGATACTTTGGCAGCGAAGAATATGATTTCAGTTTTTTCTTCTTTTTTCTACTGTCAACACACTTTCTTCCCATCCATTACAATAATATGCAATCTTCCACACAAAGCAATTGGTTCTGTGTCTGCTGTAAATTCGGTGGTCAGAGAAGTAGGAAGGAGGGAATTGATATCTGTTTCCTTCATCACCAAACCTCCAAAATTGCTTTTTAATCTTTATGAGCTTGAATAACTCCATTTTCATCTACACCAGTTTTCTAGTCATGATTCCAGACAGAAAGGACATAGATTAAATGTATTCTTTATGAAAATAGGAAAGTAATTACTGAAGACATTCTAATAGCCAGTCATTACATATCCCTAGGGAATTCTTTCTTTACATTTTCATTTTGCATCATGTCATAACTAATAGTCTGATGGCTCCTGGTCAGTGGTATTTAGATCATCTCTATCATAGCAAGTGATATAGAAAGAGGTAGAAGTTCAGAGCTGACTGAAGACAGAACTAGCAGTAAATATGAAACTAGTGTGGATAACCTACTGATCATGGGGGGTGAAAGTGTGTTAATGCATAAAATGTCATTCCCAGCACTGGGGAAGGTAGTCACATAAGCTGGTGACTTTGGGAATCAACCCTGTGGACAGGTATCCCAGCCTCTGAAGCCTGCCCTTCAGAGAACCATGCACCTGAACCCATGAATGAAGCCCATGAGTAATGAGTAGTTTGCATTACTGGTCACTTACAAGTGTATTAACCTGCTAATTCAGGAAAAGAAAAGGGTCTTTGTGTGCTTCTGCCACACCTGGTGATGCATCTTTACTTTTGAATCAGAAACCATTTTGTGTAGCTGCCTTTGTGACATTAGCAACACTCCAGCCAAATGTGACTTTCTACCACTGTAAACCTTGTTGGCATTTTCACAAATTTGAGGAGGTGCAGTTGATGAAATGTGGTGTTGTTTTACCCCTTAGAAGTCAGCTGCCACTGAGACTTTAAGGCAAGGTCCTGAGCCTACTGGAAAAGCAGCTGTGGGTCACAAGGTTCTGACAGCTTAGTGGCAAGCACAGACAATAGTCTATGAGGAAAGGGACCTAAAGACACCCCAAGGCCTCAAAAATAACAACAACAAAAAAATTTTAAATCTGTGATTTCAGCAGTTAAAAATTCTAATTAGTTCCCATGTATTGGAACACTGTCTATGATGTCAGGGCAGCGGGGATGTTGACTTAGGGAAGACAGTTACTAACATCTGAGAACAAATAAACTAGTACAAGGTTGAGCACACGGGGCCAAATCCAGCTTGCCCACTGGTTTTATTAATAAAGCTTTATTGAAACACAGCTATCCTACTTCACTGAGGTCTTACCTAGGACTACCTTCAACTTTAACAGCATTGTTGAGACATTTGTTAGATTCTGAATGACCTGCCACTCCTAAAATATTTACTGTGATGATTATCTATAGAATAAGTTTGTCCTGAACCTCAATTGAGGAGTGAATGGGTAGGTTCCAAATAGCCACATCTTATTTACACAATGGATTATTACTCAGCAATCAAAAAGATAAACTCATGCCTTTTGCAGCAACATGGATGGAGCTGGAAGGGATTATGCTCAGAGAAATAAGCGAGAAATGAAAAGGAAAATATAGGAGGAATGTAGCAGAACCAAATATGGAACCGGGGTGGGGGGTGGAGTAACTATCATAAGTAAAAATCAAAAGCATCAGGCAACTATAGATCCAAGATATTCTGTAGGGGAGGGAGAGGGAGAAGGATCTGGACTGGGGTGAGAAGAGCACAAGGGACTATGGTGATGGTGCCCAGGTGAATTGGTGGTGGGAATTTCACGGTGAAATCATAAAATGAATGATGGTAAAATGAATATATATATATATATATATATGATGGCCACATCACCAGTAGAATCAGAATTGGTAAATTCTAGAGCAAGCATTCAAAGGGAAAGGGGAAGAAGCTTTCAAATTTTTAGGGCACTAGGAAAATTTCATGGACCATTCAAAGTGGGCTTCACAGAGATTGGATTAAGAGAAACCTTCCAAATATTGAGGATTGGGTGAATTTATTCATAACCATAAGCAGAGAGTCCCTGGAGATCATTCAGTCTTGAGGTGATATAATGTGTGACTCAGTCATTTCACATGCAGGTAGGTTCCATTATTTCTTATTAGTTCAGATGAACCACCTATGCTTTACTAGTGACTGTATAAAGCAGAGTATACCTGCACATGTCAGAGTGAACAGTTCACACCTCAGAGTCTACCCCAATTTCCTTTAACTAAGCCTGCGGGTTAGTTAACCTCTTGAAAAATCCATTGTCTCACCTGTAAAATGGGGATAATACTGGCACCTTAACACAATATCATGAAGGCAATAGAGTTAAAGTCTTCATAAAAGGTCTAGAACGTAGAAGCCAATTTGTAGGTGCTATTTCTTTTTATAATTCTATTGAAAGGAATCATAAAACTGCAATATTTGGTCTTTCTTGACTTATAAAAAGTACAATTTCATTTAGCTCAACTTAATGTTTAAGGGAAGCAGCAAGAGCAAGGACAAGTTGATGCTTGCCTATTGTGACATGACAAATCTCTTGACAAGCTAAGACCCACATTGTGATGAGCCTCTCACACCTGGTCATTCTAAAAACACAGACAGGATAAGTATCAATCTGGGCTGTGTTAGCTTTTCCAGGTGCCTGTGGGAAACAGGCAAGTGCCAGTTTGGAAAACAATCTTCACTATAGAAAATAAAAATTCATGTAGTTGTTCGAGGGATTCAACATCTATTTGTTGCTAAGCCTCGGCTTGGGCGCACCTAGAATGTGAAGATCCACTATGTTTCCCCAAAGAACTTAGCCTTGAATTCTTGGCATCTTTGTTGTAAACGGCTCCCCAGCTGCTGCTGGAGTAAGGGACTGTGGAGAGCCAGTGTGACTGACTGCACAGGTTCACAGTTCAGTCTACAGACAAAAGAAGTGAGACAAATTGAAGACAAGCTACCAATTGTAGTGCAGGGAGCTACTGAGAGGCTAATTTCCTTAGCCAAAACATTAGCAGCACATTCAAGCAAAGGGATGGAAGAAGTTAACTACTTTGCAGAAATATTTGGCAGGCCCTATGAAAACAGAGCTAGATGCCACCGACTCTTGGCTGGTAGGGGGACGTAATGTGAACGCTTTCCTTTAGGCTTCCTTCCTTGGTGGTCAAGCATTATCCAGATGCCTTTCATCTAGTCTGGGGTTATAGCTCTCTGACCTTCCCAGCCTGGAGTGAATGTATCGTGTTTCCACAGTGTTTGCTGTTCCGAACAAAAGAAGGAAGCAAGACCAATGTTGGCTTGTTGCTTTACAAACTGAGGCTAGAGGTTATGCCTACTGAAGAAGAATGAGAGCAGATTACCACACATTCATGACAGGACATACTGTTTCAGCAGACAGTATATTGCTCAGCCACTCATAACCTCCCAGACAGATGAGGAGGCCTCTGTCATAATCATCCTCATCATAATGCCTTTCACTACAGCAAATTATCTCCACAGTCTCCTCATAGTGATACTATGACCTTATTCTCACTTTGATAGAACTTCTCTCTCCTGGCCTCAGTGACATGATGGTCTATGCACCTGTGAACCAAAGAGATTCTGTTTGTAACCCAGTAACTTAATGGGACACTAGAGACTTCCTTATCACTTACCTACCAACTATGCTTCCAATCAACTTCAAATTTTTTTTAGTTCCAGTTTTCAATATTTTCTGTGTGAGCACATACACACAGAGGCTCAAGTGAAAGCTAAAATATTAGTAGAATAATCCATGTCTACTAACTTGCAAGAATCATTCTGAAAGTGTAGTTTTGAATGAACATAATGTGTTAAAAGAAAAACTCCATCAGTGTAAGCTTCAGAGCAAAATTTTTAAAACACCTTTGTTGTCTAAAGTTGGAAAAAAGCATCTTAAAAAGAATATGCATGTTCTTATTTCATTCCTGACTTAGCAAATATATAAACGGGAATAATTTTGAAGATGAGATAATTTTAAATTCTCCATAAAAATGTCTGACTTGAGTAGAACTGAGGGCTCCCTCTCTGTGTTTCTATTTTGTCTTTCTCTCTTTACTGCTCATTCCATTGCACTGGCCATTCACACAGATCCCTGAAGTTAAATGTACAACTCAGATGCACAACTCAGGAGGACTGTACTCACACCAAATACCGTATGCGTGGTGCCCTGGAGTTGTGAAGGGAGCTTTTTCCTGAAAGCAGAACAGTGTTTCTTCTGTCTTTCCATGGCCCGTGAGCGTGGCTCCCTTTGTAATAGCTGCATGAGATGTGTTTGTTTAGAAAGTAAAGA